TAGGGAGATGCATATCAATAGAACGAAAACAAGTGTACATTCTATCATGTGCAGAACGACCATTCACCAGAACATCGAAAGACATTCCATTCAATTACATCACTTTTTATCTAGTTTATATCGACGCATACAAATGTTTTTTTGTATATATAAAAGAGACCTTCCTTTTAATTTCATACAGTTTTTTGTTAACCTCTGAAGAAAAATTCGAAACCGGTCAGGTTAATAAAATAAAAAAACCAATCACTCGCCGTTACTGTCTCACAACCGTGCAATGGCTACAAAAAACACATTCATCTAATAATAACACTGGATCCTGCATCATATCATCAGCTTCTTTTTTCTTCATCGATAATTGTTATAATCTCGACATTTTTTAAGTTTATTCTCTTTAACAAAAAACAGTTTCATTATTTTTATTATATGTGTATTATGTCGTGATTTCTGATTCTATCAATCAACACGATATTCAAATTATCTTTTAATGATGATTTGATGATGGATTGTTTTACTGTCTGATTAAAATACTGATGATATTTGATACCAGCATTCACATCCACGTGAATACAATACATGTTCACCTGTAACGAATGCGCTAGAAATAATGTTCCTCTCCATATTTTCTCAATATTTCGGTCAAGGTTGATTGGCAAGTCACAATCATTTTTTAAAAGATTCCTCATTCAATTCGCTACACAAAACATATAAACATTTCTTTATGTACTATAAGAATAAAAAAATATAAACAAAATACAAGAAAGATTCAATATCGATTACTTTCAACCCAAAGCACCACCAAAAAAAATTTATTTTGAACATGGTGCTGTAGAACAAAGTGGAATCAAAACGTATTTTCTGGTGCTTACCTGAAATGTCGCCTTTCTTTTCTTGTATCATAAGTTCGCTACAAACCTTTTTTTCTGCCACAAACGAAGATTTTACTAAAAAGAAAAAAAAAAAGTTTGAGTTCTTCGCCTTGCAACAGGAAACGAAATGGGCTGTTCGACTTTCTCTGTTCGGATGTAACAGAAGAATTATTTTGGTTTTAGATAAACCAGACCCAACGTCATAATGTGTGGTTTTGATTGAATCATACAAATTAATTTTCTTAAGTGCCTCAAAACTGCAATTAGAAAATGACGACTTTGGGCAAAATGGCTAAAAGAAAAAAAACCTCCTTCGACCGCTTGAGCCGATGTCTTAAATATAGCCAGTTGATAAAGCTTTTCGAGAACTACAAAATGGCCATTTTCTCTATTTTTATATCCCAAATTATAAGAGACTGAAATTGAAAAACCTGTTCTTTGGGTTTGAAAGTAATCGATATTGAATCTTTCTTGTATTTCGTTTATGTTTTTTTATTCTTACAGTATATAAATAAATGTTCGTATGTTTTGTGTAGAGAATTGAATGAGGAATCTTTTAAAAAAAAATTGAGACTTGCCAATCAACCTTGACCGGAATATTGAGAAAATACGGAGAGGGACATTGTTTCTGGCGTACCCGTTACATCTACGTCCATCACTTACAACTACTCCAATTCTTTCATTCATTATTCAAAAAACTGATATCAACATTATAAACCACTAAAATCGTTATTAAATTATAATTATCATCATCGCCACCCATCTTATTGATGTCTTCAACCTACGATCCTGATCTGGCTAATCTCGATGCATTACTATTTTGAATTCTTTACTTTTTTGATGTACTAATTTCGTCTCTAATCTCTCAATAATCGCACATCAAGTCCTGAGAACACTTTGTTGTCCTACAAAAATATCATGAACAAACACATCAATAACAACGTTGAAATCGTCATTATCAACATAGACGTCAAATGTTTACTTCAATTGAACAACATCGAGTAATATGGTCCTATATTAAACATTCAATCTTGTTAAAACATAAATCGACCAAATTCTAGGCGATGAAAGAATTAACAAAGCTATCCACAGAGCGATCGTTCTCAAGCACACAAAATAACAAAGTCCCGGAAGGCCAATGATACCTAACGTTCAACGCTCAACCAGTCGTTTATCAAATCAGCAAAAATCTTCTTCTGTTTATTCCCCTTTCCTCTAAAATTCCGACCACAGATTCTAACTCCATCAACTATGTCATTCTCAAAGATACAAACCATTTGTTAATGGAAAATTAAAGATTTCAACATTATTGATCGATATCATCGCACTTTATACCAACCGATTTATCCCCCCATGTACGAAAAAAAAAAGAATAACAAAAAAATAATTGCAGTATGTCTATTGCAGTTTAATGATATAATAAATGCTTGATTATTAGCAAAGGCAGCAACGCCAAATGTAAAATTATTTTTTTCTTATCATTGTTAAATATCCACTGCAGTTGCGCGACCAATCAGAAGATAGACAATTAAACCTACAGTTAGAGAATAAAGTAAAATAAAAAGTAGTGAGAACTGCGGACGCTTAAGAATTTCATACCAATAATCGGAAAAAAGAAAATAAATAATAGCCAGAGTAATTTTGTGCTCATGGGTTTCGATGATCGAAGAATTTCAATAGCAGCAAGAATATCCAAAATTAAAATGATCTAAATCCAAGGAAAAAATTTGATATTATTGGCAGAAGAATGTATTAGAATTAGAATTGATTTTCTCTCATCTTAGCAGTAACTTAAACTGGATTGCGAAGTTGCGAACGCGATCTGCTAGTAAGCGATCTCGTCCGCCTCTATCGTTCTTAGCTGGTTGTTCTATTGTCGCAGTGCTCTATACAAATTCATTAGTTCGGTGACTCATTATACCATTATCTGCTACATAATGATAATAACACATTCGAGGATTTATCAAATGCTTCAGATGCATCGATGTACACTCTTCAATTAGGATTTATATCGCGTCTATCCGATATGGTCATTATCTCTTATGGAAAATTTTAACGTTTTTCTGAAATTTGATGAACTCGTGAGACTTCCACAGGACGACCAAAACATCAGTTAGTTCTCAAAAGGGAGTATTTCATAGTTTAGAGTGTAGGTATTCCAGTAGTTTTTCAATGACGAAAATCGGTAAAGCACATGATGAGAAAGACATTACAGAAAAGCGCTGGAATAAATCTGAGTTGCGAAAGGAAAAAAAGACGCAGAAAATTGTGATTGTGATTAACTGCTATAATGCGATTAGCTTACGCATCGTATTAATAATGCTATGCTAGTGAATAATGACTTACTAGACCAACAACTCCCCCAACTACGGAACCAACATAATTAGCCATAGCAAATGGAATAATATTTAAAAATGTCAATAAAAACAGTGTAAACATTCGAACAAATTTCATTGTCGTTTAAATAAGTTATGTGTAATAAATCTAGAATTAATTCAATGATATCTAAAATAACATGAGAGATATTGCTGATATGTTGATTTTATTAGATTCTTAAAAATATAATATAAAATAAGCTTATAATTGAGTGCGGCAATGATTTTTTCAAATAGTTGTTAATGAGATGACTACTAGCTGTTTTACTCTTCGTAGTTGCATAGAAATACAAACAAAATAGTATGAAGATCTATGTAAAGATATGTATCTTCTTCTCTCAAAAGTCTTACTGAAGAATCTGTCTTCGGGTTTATGAGATGAATACGGATAAGGAAAACTATTGTCGAATCGCGTTTTTGATATAAAAGTTGATACGTCTCCTATAACAAAGTATTACATGAATAACTCTACTTTCATGCCTAGTTTATCCTACATATGAGCAAACAAACTACTGACAATAGAAATAGGTCTTTTTTCTTCTTTGTTCTATTAAAAAACAACTTCTCTTCTTTAAGATATGATTAATTCTTCTTCAAATTCATCCGTTCTTAAATTAATCATTTATTCGACATCGACATATGTATTAGCCCTCGATGAATAACGAGAAAATTAACATAAATTTGACTCATCTTCACATAATCATTTATTTTCTTAGATTTTTTATATTAAGGAAATGATGATAAAAAAACATGCTAAATAGCGAAACTCTGCTGTGCTGAATCACTACAACTACGTGTTATTTTCTACAAGCAAACGTGCAATAAACATGAAACACTTCTTTTTATTTTTAGGTGTTAGGATACTGTCTTATGAGAAATACATACGTCAATGTTCTTATACTATTTTTATACTATGTGTTTTTACTATAAATAATTAAAGAATAAATCAATTTTTTTCTCTTATATACGTAATATTTACCAATAGGATTAAGTTTGTATTTATAGTAGAACTATCATTCTACAACATAATAGACGACGAACGAATGTGTATAGACAGATTTGTAGATCTTCTTCTTCTTCTTCTTCTGTACAAACATTCATCTCTTTTTCCATTCAAATTCATCCGTATCTTATTTCTTTTAGATATTACATATTTCTCTTCACTATGTAAAATTTTGGCTTACCCCCATATGAGACAATAAACTGAGCGTACCCAAAAGAGATAATAAAATGCAGTTTTAAAAGAGATAATAAACTCTGACGTTTAAATTGAGACAACAAATCTTAGTATTCCAAAAGAGATAATAAAGTCAAATCTCCCAATTGAGATAATAAAATAGCAAATTCAAAAGAGATAATAAAGTTTAATTAGAATAATGTAGAAATAAGACAATATATGTGACTTTTGTACACTGTGTATAATTACGCATCCATTTGGCAAATTGATCCGAAAGCGACATGTCTACACGCACAATTGTTCAGGCACCATCTTCTTTATCCTTTTTTGTTGCTGCTGTTTCATGTTCGTACAATGAATTGTAAGCTTTAGCTCGGACTATTTTTCGGTATTAGAGAGGATTTTGCTATTCTCTTCGACGGTAATTGTTGGTAAATTTCTTGTTCATGATCAAAACGAGCACTCTCTTCTTCTTTCTTGATATTCTCCACCCAAGACCATATATTTGGATGCGTAGCCATTTTACTAAAAAGATATGATTGATGTTAGGCTTTGTTTATATTATCAAACAATCAAAAACACTCACGAATTTTGATAGCGATGCCATCCTTCCAGATGATTGTTGGTTCGTGGTCTTCTTCCAATAATATCATACAAGTTCCAAAATGATATATCAAATCTTTCTTTTTCCACATAATTTGTAACAACATAATCAGTTAATTTAAGAAATTTAACAGAAATATTGCTTAATACATCAATTACTAATTCCATAACAGTGTCAATTTCATGTGCTGGTAACAATGGTAATGACATAATGTTCGCTATTTCTCGTCGTACAGTTTGATCTTTGCATTCCTTTACCAAATGTAATTTTTGAATCCTTTTCCATATATTCTGGGTGAAATGAAAATAACAACCTTTCACAATAGCATTTGGAAATGCTTCGGAAAATGCATTATATGCTGCTAATTCAAAATCGATTAATATTGTCTGGGGTTGCAGCAGGATACCAAGACTGGTCGCAGCTTTCTTCAAACCTAACAAAAAAATAACATTGTTATTATCTCATCGTCTTTTTATATGTAAACTTACCAGTCAACATTTCACCGTATGTTGATTCTTCCTTGCTTGGTAATGCGGAGAATAAACCTGGTTTCATTGAATATGAATCAAATGCATGGATTGTGTAGGATTGTGAAAATAACTGCGGACACGTCTGAAAAGTTCCATCAGCATTCCAATGAAAAGTTTGTGA